CTCTGCATGCTGATGTCGGCCCCATTCTTTCATCCTTTTTGCCCTTGTTGGAATTCAATGCATCTCTTCTAGATGCATCCAGCACAGAATAATAATTGAAATACTATGTGCCTATGTGCCCAATTTCTAATATAGTTATTTCACTCGTGTGTGTGTGTGTGTGTGTGTGTGTGTGTGTGTGTGTGTGTGTGTGTGTGTGTGTGCGCGCGTGCGTGCCATTGCTCCTTATGTTTTTGGTTCCACAGTGGTGAAGTGTGATGTACTATCGAGTCTGCAGTGGGACAGCAGATGGTCGAGAGGGTGTGTGATGTCATGCATAAATGAATGGAAGAGGATAGAATGAAAAAGTGGTGCAATGCAAGAGTAGAATCTTCCTTGCCCAGATGACTTTTCTGCTAAATTCTAATCCATTGTCCCCTCGCTACTCCGCGGTTCGGTTATGGCAGTTCTACACTATTGCCAGTTTTTCATTTGTGATCACAACTTGATCTTTTATGGGTTTACCTCGGTATTTCACCGATTTCCCTGTTATTTTTATTTCTTCTAAATCGGATCGGGTCAAAAAATGTCTTATTTTATTTTATTTTTTTAAGCGGAAATTTGTTTTACCAAAACAGAGACCGTGAGCATTAGAGCTTGTTGCATCCAAAATCCCTGTTCCCTCATCACAGATGCATTTGAGAATCCGCTGGGAGTGCACTGCTTCACTCAGACCGTTTGTAATCTCAGAACATAAAAAATAAATAAATAAATAAAAGTGCTGTTCAGTTATTGCCCCCCAAAACAGACTTGGAACCCAGCCCAATAATAACCAATATGGGGGTAAAGAATATTTTTCCATTGTTTTTTTTCCTCATTTTAATTTGTTTATTTATGTTTATTCTTTCATCGTTGATTTTTCTATCAACTAATAATCACCATTTTTCTCTAAAATGTTTATGTTCCATGAAACATATTTTTCATGGTATTGTTTTGTTTTTTAATTGTGTTTGGTTTTGTTTCCTCATGTGCCTTTTTTGCCTTCGTTGTCAGGTTTTGCTGTCACGCGGGTCCCTTCTCTTAACCAATCTGCTCCCTCAACCGTTTGTCTCTTCCAGGTGTTTCTTGTTTCAGTTTGCTTGTATTTGGTTCCCTGGTTTCTTTCCAACGTCGTATGATTGTTGTTGCTGTCACGTTGTAATGTGTTTCCATCCATCCATCCATTTTCTGATCCGCTTTGTCCTCCAAGGGTATGCTGGAGCCTATCGCAGCTGTCTTCGGGCAGTAGGCGGGGTACACCCTGAACCGGTTGCAAGCCAATCGCAGGGCACACAGAGACGAACAACCATCTGTGGTCACACTCACACCTAGGGACAATTTAGAGTGTTCAATCAGTCTGCCACGCATGTTTTTGGAATGTGGGAGGAAACTGGAGTACCCGGAGAAAACCCACGCAGGCACGGGGAGAACATGCAAACTCCACACAGAAAGGCCGGAGCCAGAGTCGGACCCTGCACCTCTGTACTGTGAGGCAGACGCGCGGCCACCAGGCTGCCTGTTATGTGTTTCCGTCATGTTGTTGTTGTTTTTTGTTTTTTTGGTTACTTTGGATTCTTGTGGTTTTCAGGACTTTGTGTTTTGGATTTAGTTTTTCCTGTGTACACCAGGCAAAAGAATCACAGTCAAAAGGAACACATTTTAACGCTTAGCATCAGAAAAATAAATCAAACTGTAAAAAAGAGGTGAGTGTTAGATAGTAAGATGCGATACAGCTTAGTATGCAGAACACTGCTGCATCGGGAAGATATTTTGAATGCATAAATATACTCCATATTCTATAGTATACTGTATATATATCGTATGCAGAAAATATGTGCAAGACTGGCCTACCGAATGGATCATACCTTTCAAAATTACAAGTGTGGCAGTGGCTTTGTTTTTGAAGGGCATGAATAGAAACCGTTAGTCTGTAAAGTATGCCTCACCATGAATTTTAGAGTTTAGTTTGCACTCGGGGCACAATTAGCTGGCCTCAGTCAATCGATCCACCTTTTTCACAGTCCTACCTGGTTTATTACCTTTAAACCCATCAGTGAGGCACTCCGGGCCTAAACTGTTCAGTGATTTGTGGACAAGTAACAGCACTTTAAAATCTATCTGTAACTAAATGGAAACAGATGTAAAAAGACCCACAGCAGAAAAAAATGTGCTTGCTTCTCCTCTCAGTTCGAACTCGGAACTGAGTTTCCAGGGGTTGTTTTGGGACGTGGATGCTGCCCATGGTCTCTGCATATTTTTTTTTAAGTTGATAAAAGCAAATTATGTAAATTGGTGACTCTTAGATCACTTATCAATTAGAACAGTCATAGTATTACTGTAGTATGTACCATGATACGGTATGTAGTAGTCAATTACATTTGACACACACACACACACACACACACACACACACACACGCACACACACACACACACACACACACAATTTTGGTAAGGCAGCAATTCTTATGTCCACTTGGTAGCACTTATATTTTGGATTTAGTTTTCCCAGAGTTTCCCTGCAAATGTTTTTGCTCAGTACACCCCACTTCTCCTGCCTTCCCGCTTTTTCGGGTCCTCTACCATCACGCACTACATGACAAATGCTGTTTTTCTCTGCCTTTTAAGAGAAACATTTATAGATAAAAATGCATCTATTAACCATTGTCGGAGCCCTTGCATGATATAGAAGAAGTACAGGATGTGGCGCAAAGATGTTTTGCATATTTATGCATATGCTTCCTAAAACCATCAATTATTTAAATCTCCCTGCAGGATTGCCCCTCATGATTGTTAATAATGGTCCACTATAAATATATTTTATGGCTAAAAGCTCAAAAAGTCTGGGTTTAAACCGTGACATCATCTGTATCTACGAAGCCCTTCTATAGTAGGTCTTAAATTCAATTTCCCCCACAAGCGATTAATTGTAAACCTTTGGAATACATCACATTTATTGTTGCTTGTCTTGCTCCACACAAAACATACAGGCAAAACTCTGAACGGTACATATAATATATAGGTGACATCCAAACATGGCAGTGATGTGTGGTGATTTTCATGGCAGGTGAGGCATTATTATGAAACAGATTTACAAATTTATGAGCCAAACAGTGGAACATATTTGACCTAAAATCAGCAGAGTCAAAAATTATATGTAGATAGATAGATAGACTGAGGACCAGATAGACTGAGATAGAATGGTCCTCAGTCGGAAAAGGGTGGAGTGCCCCCTCTGGGTCGGGGAGGAGATCTTGCCCCAAGTGGAGGAGTTTAAGTATCTTGGGGTCTTGTTCACGAGTGAGGGCAGGAGGGAGCGAGAGATCGACAGGCGGATAGGTGCAGCGTCTGCTGTGATGCGGACCTTGTATCGGTCTGTCATGGTAAAGAAGGAGCTGAGCCAAAGGGCGAAGCTCTCAATTTACCGGTCGATCTACGTTCCAACCCTCATCTATGGTCACGAGCTATGGGTCGTGACCGAAAGAACGAGATCCCGGATACAAGCGGCCGAAATGAGTTTTCTCCGCAGGGTGTCCGGGCTCTCCCTTAGAGATAGGGTGAGAAGCTCGGTCATCCGGGAGGGGCTCAGAGTCGAGCCGCTTCTCCTCCACATCGAGAGGAGCCAGATGAGGTGGCTCGGGCAGAAGTGGCTAGGGAGAGGGAAGTCTGGGCTTCCCTGCTAAAGCTGCTGCCCCCGCGACCCGGCCCCAGATAAGCGGTAGAAGATGGATGGATAGATAGATAGATAGATAGATGAATAGATGGATAGATAGATCGATAGATCAGCAATGTTTTTACTCTCATATTTGGCCGTAAAGAATGTTATTTCCCGTGGTTTAGAGAGAGCTTATTAGCCATTACAGTTTATTCCCTATTAAAATCCTGCTTATTAAATTATGCATGAATAATGAATTTTAATTTAAACCCAGACCGAAATATGACATTAATATGTTAAACTATTTTGTTATAATGCTGAAATACATGAAACACACACGGTTCAACAAAATACTCTGTAATAGCACGAACATACTTAATTTCAAAGTCACTTATATTGTCTTACCTTTTTTTCCTGTTACTTTTCTAAAAATCCTCTCATTTTCTGCTTTGAGTTTCAAAAGTTGCTCCATCTTAAAATATTCCCATTAACAAAAAGGTGTTCATTCATCAGTCGTATGCCAAATTAATTTTATGAGTCTTTTTAAAAGGATGTATATATATATATA